AACCCTAAACCGTAGGGTTTGGGGTTGCGGGTTTCTGCATTTCGATGTTTCCGGTTCGGGATGTGGAATTTAGGGATAAGGGTTTCCGGGTTGGGGTTTCTACGACTAGGGCCTTAGAGTTTCAGGCTAGGGGTTAGGGATAGGGTAGAAAGACACAAGTCCATGTATTTAAAACATAGCCAGCTTTGCGCGCCCGCCTACCCCAAAACAATGTCTCAAACGCGTCCGGAAACTTCGCTGGGGCGAGACATGAAGCCGACAACCGGAGCCAGAAACGCTGAAGCACTGAAAGCAAAAAAACATTAAGCCGTCAAGCATGAGGGGGTTTAGGGGGTTAGGGGTTTANNAGGGGTTTAAGGTTTGAGGGTTTGGGGTTCAGTTTAAGGGCTTGGGGTTTAGGGTTTAGGGTTTTAAGGACGAAACCCGAAAAAGAAAAGGACCATCACTACAGAACTCCTGCAAGTTGCAATACCAACCGCAGCAAGAGGTATGCTGAGTCCTGTGCTCTTCTGTTCTGAGCTCCCATTCAGAAACATGCGAGGTGTAACTATACTTCCTTGATTTCAGGGACACCGGCCTCCTGAAGCCACCTGCCCCTAAACCCTAAACCCTAAATTTAGGGTTCAGGGTTTAGGGTAAACCTTTAACCCATCCTTAACCGCCTTAACCGTTCGTCGAAGCCTGGTATTCGCGATCTTTCAGCTTCTCGTCCCGGAGAATCTCGGCGATTTGCCCTGGCACGCCCGGCACGACACGCCCTAAACAAAAAGCCTGCACCCAGGATTTAGGGCTGTTTACCGCTTCTTGGGGTCTGCTGGATTCTGGATGCGGGGCTTAATATCAGGGCCTCTATGATTTGAAAAGTGTTTTCAGACATGGTATACCATAAGTATATAAGGGGTAGAAATGAGATGCTCGTAGGAAAACATTCCGACCTCTACAGACTCTGCAGTCGAAGTGTAAAGCTTAAAGCTTCACGTCAAGCGTGTGCGGCCAGGTGCTGAAATCCAAGTGATGTCGAGTTTCTGCTTAGATTCCTAAGGAGGAGATCTATATACACTCACCAAAACCATGCACCGAACGCTAGAGGCCGCCACCCAAGTTAAAGCCTAACAACCTTGATACTGTCAGTGCAGCAACCCTTCAAGGAGCCCGCAACCCCCATCAACTAGTCGAGCTGCTGTTCTTCTTCAAGATCAGCCCCTGCCGCTTCTCCACCTGCCAAGACCACGCCGGAGCAGTGCTTTTAGCTTTGCTTGGGGCTGTTTTTATAGTTTCGAAATATTTGTACAGTTTGACAGGGTTGTTCTACGTATTAGGGCTTTGAGTGATGCAGATCCCGGATCAGTACAAACCTCCGCTAATAAAGATCATAGAATTATCATAGCCGCGCTTGCAGCAAAGGGGCTACTCCTCATGGGTCTACATTACTGAAGAGGACCGGTTTTGCGGCCACTGGCAGGATGTGAAGGGTGCTCTCGGAGACGACAAGAGCAGAATGAGGTCTGTCTGTTGTCCAGTGCAATGGCCTTGGCCTTCATCATACAGTTTAGTCTCGTTGACAAGAATCCTAAGGAATGGGTAGGGAAGGCCGCAGGGGGGCCCGTGCGTTAAGGGGTCCGCACGAGAAGGAGCCTACTCTTTAAGCACTGTAGGCTTCTCATCAACATCTGAAAGTGTCCGTCAGTTTAGGCTTCGCGGGGACCAGGAAGCAAAAAGAAAACTCCCCAAACTAAAAGCCTTGTTGAAAGCCAATAGCGGCACTCTGCTTCGACAAACCCAATCAAGATCCTGAGGCCTTCCTCACTCGCCTTAAACCCTAAGCCCTACATACCTCCTGAAGCCTCCTCCCCGTAAAGGCGGCTTAACCCTAAACTCCTTGCTTGCCCTGAGCCCCAGATGACGAGACGACTCCAACCCAAGAAAACTTGATGCACCTTCTTTATGAGTTCTTACGACTGGTAGAAGACTCCCGCTATGGTACGGCGGTTGCTCAGGAAACTCAGGAAAGCTTTTGTAGCTATGCATTCAGGGACCTTAGGAATAGTGTTGGTACCTGCTAAGGAAACCTACTGGTGATTATCTAACTCTACAGCATCAACTCGACCTGCACCCTAAGCCGGTATAATAGAGAGGCCTGAATAGTAGGGTTTAGGGTTTAGGGTTTAGGGATTAGAAAAGGGTTGAGTAGGGTTTTGGGAGATATCATACTGTAGTTGTGATCAGGAACCTCCAAAATAGTACTGGCGATTATTTCGGCCTCTTGATTACTAAGTCTCGCAAGCCTCGGTGTCGCGCTTCTTGGCCAACCTGCGCCGGGGCTTTAAAGACCCTGCCTACAATATGGGGGCCTTCATTTTGGGGGTTCCTTTATAGTATAAGTATGAAAGGAACCCTAAGGAATACTATTCATTAGTTTCTATTTTGGCTCCTATATTGATCTAGGCATCCTGCAAGGATTCCTCCAAGGGCTCCCTTATGGGCTCTGCAAAGGATTTCAGGTTTTGGCGCAGTTTGGGAAAGCTTTAGAAAACTACTTTTCGGGATTGAGAAAACCACAAGGACCCTAATGGAAAGAGGCCCTAAGCCCTGAATTGTCGAAACCTTACACCCCAAGCTTCATGCACCTGTAGCTTTAAACTACCCAAATCCTAAACCTTAAACCCTAAACCCTAAACCCACACTGTGAGCCCGAGATGCTAAACGCAAAACCGCTGGCAAGTCGCTGCTGTGCCCGTTCCTCCTCGATGGCCCGAACTTCTGCCGCCGACCGCTCCTGGAACGGAGTCGTTTGCTGTTCTGCGACACTCTCGAACAGTTCCCGGGTAAGCCTTGCGCAGGGCTTTGTTTGCCTCTCAGGGTTCCGGTCTTAGTGAAAAGTCGCGTGTCAACAACATGCTTTGAGGCCCCTAAACCCTAAACCCGATACCTTAAACCCGAAACCCTAAACCCTGAACCCTAAATCCTGAACCCTAAGCCCAAACCCTAAACCCTTAAGGTTTGGGGGGCTTGGGACTTCGGGGTTCCGGGTCGAAGGGCGCTTAAGGCGAGGCTCTTCGTCTCAGAGGCTATGTCCCTAAAGCCCAGCGGTCGAAAGAAGCCTGAGACTCTACAAACCCTGGTTCAGGCTTGAGGGTTTAGGGTTTAGGGTTTCGGGTTTAGGGTTTAGGGTTTAGGGTTTAGGGTTTAGGGTTTATGGTTTAGGGTTTAGGGTTTAGGGTTGATGGACCTGAGATCTATTGAACCCCAATACATCATACAAACACACCTCAAACTGTCGAGAACAACGGAAGAGACCATACTACTACAGTTTGTTAGTGCAAATGTCCAATCACATGTTGTCTCAGCATCAGACTTAAATGCTGTGTTCTTACACAAAACAAAGGCTTTTTGCGGTGTAATGTGACGGCACAGAACATGGTTTTGACTTTCGTTGTTGTAAGTTCAACTCCTCAAGCCCTGAACCCACACACAAAAACATTGAAGTCCTGTAACCTTCAAACCGTGCAACTTCCGGAGCAGGGAGGGGGGTTTAGGGTTTAGGTTTTGGGCTCCTGCATCTTCCTCCGCTGTCTCGCGGCATCCTTCCTGAGATGGAGGAGCTTCGGGAGGGATCCAGCACTGAGGGGCTGGATGGAGAGGTGTTTTCGACTTTAACTGTTTTGGGCTCATCTACAAATTGAGTTTAGAAACCCTTTTTACTAAACCCTGAACCCCACGGCTTAAATCCTAGGCCCCAAACCCAAAGCCCTTTAGCTTGCAACTCTGCGAGGCTAAAGCAACCTTTTTTTGTCACAAACGCATCTTGGGGTTTTAGTGCTGCGTCCTCGGGTCCCTGAGAGAGCCCCGAACACTGAACTTCTAGAGTTTCGGGTTTCGGGGGTTTCGGTTTCGGGTTTCGGGTTTAGGGTAAAGGGTGTAGGGTTTCGGGTTTAGGGTTTAGGGTTCCTGGCACATCATCACGCTAAGTCCAAAGTGGGTCTGTGGCCACATTCTAGCAAAGCTCATTCACAGCCACTCAGAAACTCAGACCGCCTAAGCCCTGAAAGCCAAAAGTGCGTGGCTTGTGGGCTCCGGATAAGACCACATAAGAACAGGAACCCTAAACCCCTAAACCCCAGATCTCACGAAGAATACGGCTACTGTTACAAAGCATCTCTTTGGGGAGCTTTGAGCTCATGGTTGAGGGCTTTCGGGCTTCTGGTCTGGAGTCTTCTGGAGATCAATCAGGGTTTTGGTTTAAGGCTTGCCAGGTTCAGGGTTTAGGGTTTAGGGTTTAGGCTTGCCGAACCTCACACCCGACGTGTGCGCCAGGAAAGCTCTCTTCGAGGCAGCCGCGTGAACCCTAAACTTCCACCAGACCATCTTCGACCTCGATGCCAACCCCAACCCTAAAGCCGAGACCCTGAACTCCACCCATGCATCCATGCAGCTCGCGACCCATGCCACGGTCTTGAGCGTCCTGTTGTTGCCAGGCAGGAAATGGGGGTTCTAGGGCTTGGAGTGTCGTGGTTAGACGGGTGGCTTCAGAATCTTCAGAGTGGTTTAGGCTTTAGGATTTCGGGTTTAGCTTGCAACATAGCTGATGTTACTTTAAGCTTCAATCCTGTGGCACCAGCGGTCCCTGAAGATTAAACCTAGTATTATACCACAAGTATCTACAATCGGGATTTCAAGGGGATCCCTACAGTATATTTTGGCTCGGGCTTCGGGATCAACCTGGTGATATCCCGCGGTCCTTCTCCTGAATCAGGCGGCGAATCGCCTGAGCCTCCTTCTGCTTCATCAAGACCTGGCATGGGGGGGAACTACGAACATGCAATGCCTAATCCCTAATCCCTGAACCCTAAACCCCTAAACCCTAAACCGAGACTGCCGATAAAGCTGAAAGTGCAGATTCAGGTTTCTGGGACGTACGGTTGCTTCCGAGTCAGGATCTACCACTGCATCGGTTCTGCTTAGCTTTCTGACAGTCTCTTCGTGTTCGAGGCTTTCGATGGCTAGTGTGAAGCACTCGTGCTTCTGATTTTGATAGGCTGCGACGGATGAGTAACTAGTAATAACCGTCGTCATTTACCCTTAACCCAATACCCTAAAGCCCTAAATCCAAAACCCCAAGTGAGCTTGGCTATCTTCACTGAGGGTTTGCAGGGTGTCGAAGCAGGAGCCTCGGGGGTGCGCCTAGTTTCTTAGGGCATGCTGTGCTGCTCGGGACTAGAGGCGAACGCGATTCCCAGATCTTCCGAGCCCCATGTTAGGGTTTAGGGTTTAGGGTTTAGGCCATGTTAGGCATCTTCCCTCTTTCGGGCTTCCGAGCCCAAAACCGCAGATGCAGGATTTTGAAGGATTTTCTGAGGATGAGAGCTGTGAGAATGCCTGGAGTCTCTGGTCGCTTTCGGCTTTATCTGATCGGGCCACTGGAAGCTTGAAGAGTCCAGGCTCGGTCAGCTGCTTTTCGGTTTAGGGTGTAGGGTTTAGGGTTTACGGTTTAGGGTTTAGGGTTTAGGGTATAGGACCTACACCCGTCAGCCCTGACCCTCAACTTTCGATCCGGAAGCCCTTAAGACCTTTTACCTTGGCGCCTAATGGTTTAGGGCTTGGCCAAAAACCCTCAAGCCGTTAACCTGCAAACTCCAAGCCCGGAACCCAGACTAGACAGAACCTGTAAACCTCACAAGCCACCCTAAACCCTAAACCCTAAACCCTAAATCGTGCCTCGAGCTGGGCCATGGTGCTCTTTTTGGCCTCCTCCGCTGCCCTGTGGGCCTGCACAGTTGCTGCATTAACGGGTTTGAAAACCTCGGCTTCGAGTTTGGAGGGCTAAGAGGCTTCGGGTTTCGGGTTTAATGGTTAGTTAGGGCTTAGGGTTTAGAGGCTTAGGGTGGTTTGAGGGTTCGGGTTTAGAGGCTTAGGGTTTAGGGGTTTAGGGGCTCGGTTGTATGTGTGCGTCAACCTTGCTCCACGACCATGCCGAGCTAGCTTTTCTGCATCGCTCCAAGCTTCAAAGCTTCATGGATAAAGGCTCTTGGGCCAAGGGCTTCTAAGGGGCCTGGGTTGCGGATGTGGATCAATTCAGCTTCGGTTAACGGCTCGAGGTTGTAAAGTGCTCTGCAAAACCAGGTCGAAGTGGCATCTGTGGGCACTGTTGCGGAGTGCTCATGTGTCACACGAAAATCAGGATCCCATCAAACCATTCTGGATGGGAGTCGCGACCCTGACCCCTAAACCCTAAGTAAGGGTTTATGAAACCCTAAACCCTAAACCCTAAACCCCTAAACCCTAAACCCTAAACCCTAAGTAAGGGTTTATGAAACTCTACGCCCTACGAAAGAGCTTGTTCACTGCCTCAGCCCGGGCGTGCTGCTGCTTCTTTATCTGCTCCAGCCTCGGCTCACAAGAGATCATGGAATATTTAGGGTTTTAGGGTTTAGGGTTTAGGGTTTAAGGTTTTAGGGTTTAGGGTTTAGGGTTTAAGGTTTTAGGTTTTAGAGTTTAGGGTTTAGGGTTTAGGGTTTAGGGTTCAGGGTTTAGGGTTTAGGGTTAGTGGTTGTTAAGCGGCTTATGGTTCAGGGTTTAGCAGGGATCAGCAGGGTTTGGGGGAGTTGAATTTAGTGGGGTAGTAAGATAGCAGGGTGGCACGGGCTTTAGGGAACTAGGGTAGCAGGTATGAGGGGTCAGCATTTTTAGATTTACGGCTTGGCGGCTTCCGGCCACGCAGAAGCGGCTTTTATCATGGGTAGATGGGGCGCCCAAGCATTTCCAGGGCTTGTCGTTTTCTGGCCGGGGGTCACGACAAGGGCTGGCGGAAAGAGGGAGCAACTAACGGGTTGCAGGAGGAGTCTTGCTGCGGTTTGCGGTCGAAGGCCTCACACCTCCCCTGGCCGAAGCCCTGGGCCTGGAAGACTGCCCCCTTATAATTATAGGATGCCGGGTTCAGTGTTGGGGGGTTCAAACCAAGGAAGGGATGTATAGAATGTGGTGGTTTGGGTTGGGGGTCGAGGTTTGGGGTTTGGATTCTCGAATTGGCTTTCGAGTTTCGGCTTTAGCCCTTAAATACGGAACTGAAATGCGGCACTTCGATTTCAACCGCACGGTTGTACCTGACAGATTGGGCTGTTGATCCACATCGCACAATTACGTGCAAGAAGGATCCTTCGCAGAACAACACGGCATATTCGCGGATCAACATCTACCGCCCCAGCCCGAAACCCACAGAAGCTCAGACAGAATAGGTTGAATAGGTGCACTTGGGGTCGAAGACTACGTCCTTCGAAAAGCACATGCCAGTCTATTCCCTTTCTGGCGACACCGTAAACCCCCAACCCCTACACCCCCAAGTGTTCCTCCCTTCCCCAACCATGCCATGAAAGTCTCCGAGCCAGATTTCTGCAAGTAACAGCTGACATGAAAAAGAAAATTGTTTACAACCCCAGGGTTTCTGGATGACCAAACCACCACCTAGAAGGCCTAAGTCCAAAGCCCTTGTAGAACCCTAACACAAAACCCGAAACCCCTTTATCGAGCCCTGGTAGAACCTGTATATGGGAGTTTCCGAAAATTAGGGGTACCTTGTTTTGGGGGGTCCTTATAAGGATCCTACTAGTACTATATTAGCGTCCCCTATTTTCGGAAACCCCCATATATACCCTTAAAGGAACCCTTGACATCAACCCGAATGGCTCAAATCTGCTCTGGGCCACCACTGAATGGGTCGTTGTTTACATTAGGGTCCCTGCTTACCCTAAAAGGGACCCTAATTTAGAAAACCCTATAAAAAGGACCCCTAAAAGGGACCGTAATTTAGAAATCCCTCATAAAGAAGGACCCTAAAAGGGAACCCAAACATGGAAAACTAGACCCGCATGCAGACCCTAAGCCTAAACCTTTCTCAGCACCCCTAAACCCTAAGCCTAAACCTTAAACTCGAAACCCTAAACCCTAAACCCCCTGATGCAGACGAAGGGAGCTTGGCCAATCGAGCTTCTCGATCTTCGTCGGCCTTTTGAAGCCGCTGGGACGCCTCGTCGACTTAAAAGCCCCAAGCAGCCGGGGTTTAGGGTTCAGGGTTTAGGGTGTTCGGACATTCTTGCGTAAACTTTCAGATTACTAGCTTGAGGGTTTAGGGTTTAGGGACACTAAAGCTTAAACTTTCAGATTACCACTGACTCATAACAACCCAAAAAAAGTTGGCTATTGGAGAACTTAGTCTAGTTGGGACTCATGCTTGTTTGCAAAGGGAGCTTGCGGCTTGCGGCTTAGGGTTTAGGGTTTAGGGTTTGTGGTTGAGGGTTTATGGGTTTAGGGTTTGGGCGTCGGGAGGCAACGGCTTGTGAATAGCGGCTGTGGCTCCTAGTAAAAGCCACTGGAACAGAAGACTGTAGATGACAAAGCCTGAACCCTAAACCCTCCACAAAAGCCTGAGCTGATCTGAAGAGCCCACTACGCCGGAACCTAAACTACAAGTGGAACCCCAGCTAAAACAACTTCTGAACGCGAAGTCAGCCTCTGACAGCAGCCTGGGTTCAAGGTGTGTTGATTCAACATTGGATTTAAAATAGGGGCCTTAATGAATAGAATAAAGCTTTGGGGTATCTTCTAGTATAGGAACCCTCAAACAGTATTATTCAGTATGCAAGCTTCTCTACGTTTTTGTGGCACCTAAACCCTGAACACCCAAAATCCCTAAACCCTCAACCCTGGTCCCTAAACCCTGCTACACCCCAAACCCAACTATAGTCCCTAAACCCTACACTGCAGCCTAGAGACTTCAAACCCTAAACCCTCTATAGTCCCTGAGCCCTAACCTGTACTATAAAGTCCACCGCTTCCTGTAATGTCCCTTGTGCCTCAACAAACTTTTTTATAGCCCCTAACCCTAAACCAATTCCTAAACTTTAGAACCTCCAAACCACAAATGCAAATCATAGTCAGTAGTCCCCGTGCTATAGAGCTCCTTGTGCCTTGAGTTGCTCCAGATTTCGCTTTGCGTGGAGCTCGGCGATGAAACGCTTTCTAGCACCCTCGCTCTTAACCTTGGATTCCAGTGGGTTTGCTTCGAGCTTTCAAGCTTAGGCCCAGGGTTTAAGTATTCAATACGCACATACTTGCATATATGTACAAAGACGAATATACACATACATATACAGATACAGATAAATATGCATATATGTACGCCTCGTAGGGTTCTCAATGCAAGTTAAGGTATTCATTCGCAATAAAGCCGTCGTTGAAACCCTAGAGCCAATGATTGCAAAACGCCTTCGGGGCTGAGGGCTTGGAAGTCGCCTTAAGTGCTCCTTGAACGTATCAAAAACCTCCGAAGGTGAGATGAAAATAGGTGGAGTGGGGGGCTAAACCTTAACACGAATCCTTCTTGCACAAGGGATCTTTCATCCACGCAGACAAATCTCCAAACCCACATAAAGCCCATGAAGTAACACTGAAGAGAATCCCTACGTGCATCTCACCTTCTGATTCCCTGGAATGCAGACTTGTCTGCTTCTGACTGCACGGGTAGTTTGCACGGTTTAGGTTTTGGGGGTTGTCGGAATTGAGTTTGGAGGGCTCAGGGTCAGGGATTGCACGTGCTTACTGGAGTTATGCGTAGAATCCGTAGTACGCGGTGCCCCAAGATATGGGAACCCCTTATTTCAACAAACTCCTTCACGGCGTAGTGTAATGTAGAAGCCTTGATATCTAGAATAGGGTTTTGGGGTATATTGTACTATAATTATAGTAAGGAGCCCACCAAAGTAGTACAGGTAATTATAAAGGCCCCTATAGTATGTGACTACACACTCACCCGGAGACCAAACCCAAGCCAGAAGGCCAGGACATTGCGTCCCAATTCTAAACGTCCGAGAAGTCAGCAATATGCATGCATGTATTCATGTCTGTGTATATACTGTGCAGCATATCTATATGTATGTGTATGTATCTATATATATATGTATATTTTGGCACCCACATATATATATATATATGTATACGTATATGTATATGTATGTTTATGTACGTACCTATGGAGGGAGAGAAAGGGCGAGAGAGTGAGCAAGCACGAGTACTACACGCAAAACCTCCCAAAACTCTTCTCTAGGTAATCAAGCCCTGTCGTCCTTGAACTGCCAGCCGAAGCACAAGTGCCGCATGCAGCTTGGCATCATCCTGGTGTTGTTACAATGGGTAGTATACAACGGGCTAGGAGCAACTGTTCAGGCCCCTAGTAAGTGCTTCAAGATCTTAGGATTTGGGAGTTGTCAGGGGCATGACTCAGGGTCTAGATTCAGAGCTTTAGGGTTTCGGGCCCTATCTTCTCTAAAGCCCCCGTTGTGAAGATGGAACATCCTGCTCAGAACACTAAACTTAAACAGCAAGATCCGACTGAAAACCTAAAACCACCCTCGGAAAAGCCTTTCGCGCTGAGACCCCAAGCCTGTAACCCGGTGCAAATTCGATGTTCGCGCCTGGGTGTCCAGCTCCTTTAGGAGCTTGGCACGGGTGGCGCCATCGATTTTACCTTCATAAAGCAGAATATGACCAGCGGAGAGTGATGCTGATGGTCACGATGACGAGTATGGTATTTAGCACGCTGACCACCCCGGTGACTAGGATCACACTGGTCCACAAAGTATGAAAAGACCACGAAGAAGGTCAAGAGTGGCATTGGAAGAGGAACGCATGATGGCGAAAATGATGACAAAGACTCTGCCGCTTCTGGTCCTGATAAGTAATGCCGATGACCGCATTATCGTAGCTTTCGTTGTTGTGGTGGCATTTCATTGCTGCTGCTTCTACTGCTGCTGCGGGTCCTGTTAGCAAAACTGCCAGTGGTCGTGGTGCGGTGGCGGTGGTTGCGGTGCCAGTGCCGTTGCAGCTGCGACTTTACAACGCCCCTCCCCAAACCCCCACGTTGAAGAAGCCAGGTTTCCTAAACCCTATATGAAGCCGGATACGGCTGCATTTCGGTGGCACCCCAGTCTTTGTTGGTGTTGAAAATGCCTGCATAGTACCTTAAAGGAAATGGACAACTCCACAAGCTTCAAGGACTCCAAATAGCTCAAACCCCGTCGCCTCCAACGTTTGCTGGCACCGCCGAGGTAGCTTTCCTCAGTTTTGGGCTGACCTATAGTCTCCATTGTAGTTCCTTTCTTGGTTAGCCAATTATGTATGAAGGATTTCACAAGGTATCCCCGAAAAGGAACTACAATGGAGACTATAGGTATGGGCTTAATAGAGCCTTTTATAGCCTTCCTGAATTAGACTCGGGTCGTTGGGCGGTAGGGAACGGGGAACCTCCAGGAGTGGCCGAGTGTTTTCCTTTCGACGTACACATTAAGCCTGCAATCCTAAACCCTAATTCCTAAAACCCTAAACCCCTAAACCCTAAACCATTAACCCCTGAACCCTAATTACTAAAACCCTGAACCCCTAAACCCCTAAATCCTAAACCCTAAACCCCTGAATCCTAGACCCTAAAACTCGAAAGCCTTAAAGCATCAACCCGGAAACCCTGCGAAGGGCTTCTGGCTTTGGTGGAGGTCCGGGGCTCGGGCCTGGGGGCCTAAATAGGCTTAGCGCGTTGAGGGTTTAGGGGTTTAGGGGTTTAGGGGTTTAGGGTTTAGGGTACTCTTTTGGGGAGTTCCTTGTTATGAATATAGCATAAGATACCCAAAAAAGCTGGTTTGTTCATTGACTCCTCATCTTTATAGGTGTTTAGGACTTAAGTTCCACGGCCTAACTTTGTGGCTTAGGCCTTAGGATTCAGGGTGTATTCTTAAATCCTTGAAACCCTATGCTTGCAAACCCTAAGCCCTGAAACCTTACTGGAACCCTTCAGGGAGTGAAGCTGAGGGGTTGAGCAGGGTGTTGTACGCCCAAATCCTCACAGCTTGCTTGCATGCTTCCTCTGCTTGGGGTGGAGGCCATGGGCTCCCAAAAAAAGAAGTCCACTTGTCGGGCGCCCGTTTGACAAGGAAAAATTGACCCTGTTCTTTTCACCTGCATATTGGGATCGCTCTGCCTGCCTACATCCTTGCACGCCTATTCTGCGAAGTTCGGTTCGCACCTGCTCCTGGCAGTATTCTCGCATAAATCTGAGGAGAAGATGGACGTTATTGGGTTTTATTGTCTTGGATACAGCGGCATGCACATACTACAGAGGTCGGGTTTGGAAAAGAATATTGTAGCTGTGCTGTCATTTATACCGATACCGTTTTGCAGTGCCTTTGTGCCACCACTGAGGTCTTGGCCCACAATATCCGTGCACCTGTGCATGTTCACATTCCTCTGGTCTGCGCGAGAGTGAAGTCTTTCGGACCGTCCGTATCTGCAAGCCGCTGCCCCTTTGTTACTCTTGTTTCGCGCTTTTGTTCTGTTATGACGATGCTGGCATCTTGTTTAACTCCGCAGGAGTACATTACCAGTGCACTCGGCTCTTGTGTACATATTGCCACGAATATTCCGCCATCTGGTTGGACTGCTTCTGGTGTTCAGAGAAATTTCGGCAGCAAATTTCTGCCGTACTACTCATGATGGAGTGATGGAGTATCCTGTCGTCTACCGCTGCCTATTCGAAACGTATTCGCGTGGGCGATTTCGCAGATGACTGACACTGGCACTGACCTTTGGGGCTTGGAGTTTCAGGGTTGCGGGTTTGCTTGTAGGCTGTAGGATGTAGGCACGTCCCCCTTGCCACTTGGACTTATTACCCCCGCGTGCTATTGCACGACCAGTCTCCAAGGTTAACCCATTCGCCTCCGACCCTCATCTAGTCACCAACTGCAACAAAATGCGTTGCAAAGCTCGCTTCATACGAATCCCTGTATAGCTAGAAAGGAGCCTCCACTCATTCCTGAATCCGCACGCCAAAACCCAAAAGCCTCTCAAAACCTAAAGGCCCCGAGGTTTTCATGACCTAAACCCCTAAACCCAAAAGCCTCTCAAACACTAAAGCCCTAAACCCAAAATTCAAAAGTCTCTCGAACCCTAACACCACACAAGCTCTAAGGCCCTCAGCCCTATACCTCGAGGGCCCTAACCCTGAAGCCTTTCTGCAAGCCTGGCCCCTGATAGAAGACCTTTTGTCCGAACCCTGATCCTTAAACCCCAATCCCTCAACCCTAAACCTTAATCCTGAACTCCCTGAACCCTAAACCCTCAACCCTTGAAGGAGCCCTTTGAAGGACCTCTTCAAAGTATCCCTAGACGAACCCGAGACCAGAAAGCCACGCAGCGGCTTCTCCTGTACCAGGTCCGCCTCGTCGTCCACCTCCGCAGTGGCCTCCAAGCAGTTTGGGGTTTAAGGGTTTAGGGTTTAGGGTTCAGGGTTTAGGGACTTTTTCCCTCTCGCAGTTTGGAGTTTTAGGCTTTAATAAGGCTTAGATCTTTCAGGGTTTAGGGTTTGCCGTGGAAGAGCGCGTAGGCGATAGTCTCTTGCGACAAGGCTGCGTCGAGTGCATGGTGCTGTGGGGCGATGGGCTGTTTATATACAAGGCTTTTCCTTCTGTCTCTCCCACCCCACGCCGTACAGGGCGGCCAACCCAAACCTATTCCTATTCCTTTCAGGGTTTAGGCCTAAACTCCTACCCTCTTTGTGTTTTTTCCAAGAAGCACAGCAAAAAGGCAGGGCAGGGCAGTGCATGGGGCGAGCGGCGCAGGATTTCGCGGCCAGGTTCCGGTACGTTGGGTGCTAGCGAGGCTGGCGGTCGGTTGTTGCCTATGCCTTGAGTATGGGATTTGGGGCAATTTAAGTAGTTTAGGGTTTGGATGTTAGGGTTTAGGGTTCAGGCGTGAAGGAGGCTTTCTATAAGGATACTTTAAGAGTTTTTTGATACAGGTTCTGCAAGGGCTTGCGAGTTTGGGGAGCTCGGGCTTTAAAGCTCTTGCGGGCTTCTAATGCCTACGGGTCGTATTCGGCTTGGGTCTGGGTTGGTGTTTACCGATAGGCCCCATAGTAGTTCCTTTTGGGGGTTCATATGGGTAGTTCTCTAAATTAGGGTCCCTTTTTGGGTCCCCAATGTAGTACGGCACCCTTATAAACAGGACCCCCGAAGGGACCGTAATTTAGACAACTACCCATATTCAGAATCCAAGAAGGCAATCCCAAAAAGGAACTACTATGGGGCCTATGGGTAGGGCTTCTGTATGGCTTGCGGCTTACAGTTGCCTGGGCCCCGGGTTTTGCTACGGGTGTAGGGTCTGACAAGTGAGTTTTTAGGGCTGGGGGCTTGTTTAGGATGTGGCGTCTTCCTTAAGAACCCAAAAACCAAAGGTGGCGTCTAGGGTCCAGGGTTGCGTTTAAGGCTGAGGTCTCCGTGGAGCTCAGGGATTGGGTTCGCGGGTTTTGAATTTTGCGTAGGACCTCGGGTCCAGGAATCAAATCTCGGTTTGGGGTTCAAGGCTTCTTGAGGGTATGTTTGGGGTTTCGGATCTAGGGGTGTGAGCGTGTTTGGCGTTTCCCTTGAGCTGAGGGTTTGGGGTCTACGCTTCGTTCAGGGTTTGTCTAGATTCTGGAGAGTCCATCCCTTGAATCTTGCCCCGAGATTTCGGACAGTTCTAGTTAAACAGAATAGTAATCATCATACTGCTACTAATGACCACAATAATGAATAATGAGCACAACAATAATGAAAATACATGTTATATATATATATATATATATAACCCTAAACCCTAGACCCTAAACCCTACAGTATATAGCACGTAATTACAGATCGCACCTCCTCGCCCAAGCAGAGGACTTTCTGTCCCCGCTTGTCCTGCACAGGGGCTTGGGAGCTGAAGGTGACGGTGTGTGACTGCAGGGTTTCCAGCGCTGCTTAGGGGTTCAGGGTTTAGAGCTTATCGGGTTTAGGGTTTGGGGCTTATTGGGCTTAGGATTTTTGGTTTATAGGGTTTAGGGCTTATAGGGTTTAGGGTTTATCTGGGCTTGCAGGGTTTCGGGCTGAGAGGGCTTACAGGGTTTCGGGTTTAGGGGTGCAACCCTGCTGATCCCTACGAGGGGCTAAAACATATGCCTGTGCACTTACGACACGTAGATGAAAATCTTAGCCTTCCGCAGTGGGAAGGCGCGTGGCTGGTGAGGCTCGTGGCTTAGGGTCCAAAGCTCCCCCAAGCCATCTGTCATCGTGATAGGGGGTGGCCGACAAAATTCTGCTTCCTGTCCTGCACAAAGTCGAGGCGCTCAATGACCCAGTGAAAGCCTGCAGCCGGAAACGCGAAACGAGGCAAAGCAAAAATCCTGCACACTCCGCAATCACTCCGAACCTCTCGAACCCAATGCCTAAAGCATGAAGCCCGGGAGCCCACCCGAAACCTACTCCAGGGGAGGGCTTCCAATCCTTGCAAGTTCAGGTTAGCTTAGGGCTTAAGACCGTGTAAGGCTTAATTTTGAATCTTTTGTTCTAGCTGCGGGGTTCTGCTCTTGCGGTACTGATCGACGGAGTCGATTGTAATACAAACGGTCTAGGGCTTCAGAAACCATATTGGCAGTCTCACAGTGTTGCAGTTCGAGTCACT